ACCCGATTGGAAACTGGATGTTAATAAATTGATATCAATAAGAATAACCCTATTGATATCTTTATAACACCCTGATTTGAACCTTATTATATCCTATTTGCGTCATTAATCATCATCAATCGGGATCACCTGATTCTAAAAAAACAAAAAATAGGGGACCAATCAGGTTAAATCTGACAACCCAGATTTGACCTGATTAGTCTCCTATTTGTCATCGTTCGACTAGTGATTTCAATTGATGAATCACAATTAATTCGTGTACATATAAATACTATTTCTTTTAAGTAATGATCGTCAGAAAAAATTGGTGCACTACAAGAATATGAATATGATTCTAATGCTTGTTGGTAATTATATTGTTCCTCATCATTTAAAGCTTTATTATTGTATACACATCGACGTTTTTGATAATATTCACAGTTAATATAATCATGGATTTTTCCTCCAATTAAAATGCCTTTTAGAATTGACTCTGCATTTGCCTGTAATTGAATATATGTTGATCTAAATTCTTCAGTAGTTTCAGTTCTATAAACATGATGAAAAGTTGCATAATGATCTGTATTATCTGTTTTAAAAATTATTAGTATTTTAAAATTAAAATTAAATATCAAAATATATAAACTTACCTGATGAAAGGAATTGGATTTGAAAGAAAACTCAAATTATAAAATTCATTTAATAGAAGACGAATTGGCTTACAATATGGCAAGTAATATTGTTGCATTTTTTTATCTTAAAAATCAATATTAATTAGAATATAAAAAATCATTCAGTTATAATATAAATTTATAATGCATACCTGAAAACTATAAGCACGTGCTTGACAATGAGTGTCTATAAATTCAATTAATGCAGAATGTTGACGCATTTGTGCTTGTATAGTTTCTTCAATTTTTAAAGTTGGATCTATATCATGAATTGCCTATGTAAAATTAAATTATAAATTAATAAATTATAATATTTATATAAGTAAATTTTATTAAATCTATTTAATTTTTTACCTCAAATAATTCGTCAATTGCTTTATTATCTGCCAGATTATGACATCTAAATTTATTCTTTTTAATTGAAGTTGTTCTGTTTGATCTTTAATATTTCTTTGATACCAGCTATGCTTAATTTGGATTCTAATTTATTAGATTCTTGAGCTTTTTTACAAATCCTAAGGTATTTAATGTAGCAAATAAACTTTCAGACTCAGAACTCATTGAATCACGTTTAAATGCTATACTTTGAAGACCCAGATTTAAAGTACTCATGATACGTTCTACCAGATTTGTCCAGCTATGATTTGGAGCTGTACGAACTGCAATAAGCAAATCAAAATTTCTATGAAGAAAAAGACTAGTCAATGCAATTTGTACTGATCCATAATTGCATCGATGATCTGGACTCCCATCAGTGTAAAAATATAAAATTGGTGATATTATTTGATGCATGTATTGGATATTAAGTGCATTAAAAAATTCAGCTGAATGTCTAATAGAAGTACTTGGTTCAAAAATTGTATCCTTATAAGATACATACACCTGACCTCCATAAAATGATCCTGAAATATCATTAGGAATTGTTATAAAAAATGTAACTGATAGAGTTAATGAAAATTTTGTAAAATCATGATCAGCTGCAGCTAAAATGCCATTTTGAGTTACTATAGAATGCCGATTTTGTACACCTGTAGAAACTGCGACATCTTTCCCAATCGAAACTTTATGCTTATCATCTGCAGAAATTAAGCAAGTCCATTGATGATATTGAATACAAAATTCTCTAAGATATCGAAAAGTGCTGCATAATAATGTGCATTATCACTGTTTTTTCAAAGCAATTGACTTTGTACCTTAAATTTGACATTAAATCGGCTAGTATGATGTATTGATTGTGTTGTTGTAGCATTTGTAAGACAAAATTGAAGACAAATCCACTCATTTGATGGAATATGAATGTTGGAAGGAAGAGGATTACCATAAAGATTTTTTAATCTTTCTATTATAATTTTGCAAAGGTCATAAATAGACAAAGCTAATGGCATATATAGAATATCTTTGTAACATCTTTCATTTACTGCTAATAAATTCTAATAAATAAATTAATTAATTTAGAATTTTTCAATAAAAATATACAATAAATAAGCAAATATAAAACTTACTTGTTCATTAAAATAAGCTTCTGTTTCATCCCAAAATGCATTAAATTTTGTCCCATTAAATCCATTATTTGTTCATAAATCAAATACTATTTCAAGGTCAGCTAAAGTTAATATCATTCGTAATCTCTCTTCAATATCACAAGTAATAGCATTTGAACTTACAGCAGCATCACTGGTAAGATCAAAATAAAGCATTCGTAATATCGCTGGTGTGACTTTCTTGATATGAGAATACTATACAAATATTACGAGATTAGATAATAAATTTATTTAAATATTCAAATATTTATTGCATTTTCGTTACCTTATTAAGCATATTCTTTCACATTTATCATGTAAAATAATAGGGCAAATTTTCATGAATCCTAGCTAACATACGTGCTTTCAAAGTTTCACTTTGATCATCATTGAAGATTTCAGTTTCTGGGACTCTCCATATATAATTAATTGTTTCCAAATAATTTCCTTGATAAAATCTAAAAATAAAATGAATTGTTAACAATTTTTTAAATAAATTATGATATAATACTAAAATACTAAACTATATATACCTATTGGAAATGTAAGCTGTAACTCTTTTATAAATCAGTATCGTTTTATAATATCAATTAGAAGAAATTCTTGAATATCAATATGCATATAAAATAATTTTCCAAATAGAAAATCATTCAATTAAATATAATCATCTTTGAGGCTATCATGATCATAAGCAGTAATTCGATACATAAAACTGTTATTGTTAGGACTGCGAGCACTTTCATCACTATGATGAAGCTTGTTCATAGTATTGGCGGTATTAACTAAATATTCAGAATATTTTTTTAAAATTTCAATTAGAGAAAGAATTTTAGGTATTACTTGATCCCATATATTATTATTTGCCTAAGGTTGATTAATAGACAATTCAAGAGAACTTGCAAGATGAGTAAGTTTTTGTTGTGACATTGGATTTTTTATATAATGACTAGTATAATAAGTTTTGTTATATGTTTCACTATTCTGATAGGTCTTCAACTGTGTAAAAAAATCTGGCAAGTGATACAAACGTGTACATAATGTAAAAAGATATGGATCAATATACCATAAGGCATTTGTAAGTTGATTTACAAATGTTTTTCCAATTGTATCATGTGAACCACCTATCCAACAACATTTTGAGCTTGAAAAGTTCAATGATTTCATTGTAGAGTCAATTATAGTTATTATGTTCTATACAATATTGAGGAAGTAATGTTTGTCTTAAATTTTTCATTAAAATACTAAAAGCATTTGGTTTGCTTTGAGTTAGAGCTGGCGTATCTGAATTTATATTGACAATAAGGCAAAATCTAACTTGCAAAAATCCAAAAACTTCTAATATTTTTAGATCACTATTTAAACTATTATCAACTTCTCGCCAACTTTTGGACTTTTTTCTTCTAACAAAAACTTGCATCTCTCTATTATCATATTGTCCTGTCATAATAGCACCAAAAAGGTCACTAAACTTATTAGCTGTAGATTCTATACTCACTATACATTCAGGGATGACACACTTGATACTCTCATTAACTTGTATCAAAAGATAAAGCATATTTATGAACTGGTTCCATTTACGTGAAAAATTACAAAAATAGCAAAAAATACTGATTCGGAAATCTATTTACCCATAAACAGAAAGATAATCTGTTAATTCCATCATAATATTTCAGGTAAATCTATTGCTTCAATTGGCCTATTCAACTTTGTCTTTGTGGTTTTAATGTTTGAAATCAAATCTGGTTGATTTTAAGTCTATTTTGTTTGCTTTATCTATTTAGTAACCATGACTTCCTCATGGTCTTTCAGTCGCATCTTGATGTCTTCACAAATATTGTAGAATAAAAAATTCGCAAATGATTTGCAGAAAATGTGAGGGTTTGGGAAAAAAAAAGTAAAATTTTAAAATTGAATCCCGGCAAAGATAATAAATGTTAAAAAATTCTTAGCCGATGATGGATAGGAAATGATTCAGAGAAATATAAACATTTATTGTATTGAACATCAACAAATGCTGCTAAAGCAACAAAACTTTAATAGAAAAGCTAATTATAAAAAAAATTCAAAAATCCTTCATGTGTAAAAAAAATAAGAGGAAATGGTGGTAAAAAAATTTTTTTTTTCCAACAATTATTTATTGTACAAATTTGTGGTTTCATATGACTTTCATGCAATTCATGCAATTAATACTGTAATGCACCAATGCAATCGGCAAATTATCATATGACCAAAAATACAACAATTTTATTGGCCATATATTGTATATAATATTCATACTAAATTTTCAAAATTAAGGAAGGAGGTTATGTTAAATGAAAAATCAAATTAGTGTGGCCTTATTGATAAAAAATGCAACTGTACAAATATCATCAAAATTTTAGAATGTGGGAAATATAGGGAGTAAAGTATTAGAATTAAAACATATATATAATTTATCAACATTAAAAATCATATATGTTTTTCAGCAAGAAGATCTTTTTACTAGATTTAGATGATAATTATGAGTTTTGTATTGAATTTTTCAGATCAATCCTTAACTAGGTTCTGAATATTATATTAATAAAATAAATATATTGTCTAACCACAATATATATTAGTGTGTGTGACATAAATTAGTATATTTTTGATTCTCATTAAAGTATATATGATGTAATAGGTAATACTTTACAAATCATCTGTAACTCTGTATGACTGTTTGTACAACAAATTATTTTCATACATAAGAAATCGATTCCTAAAATATTTCAAATTTTTTTTCTATCTATCTGAATAGCATTTATTTATAAGTTTATTTTCTTCCTGTATATAGACTATTCTTACTAGATTTCGACCAGAGTATATTTATATAATGTTATTAAGTTTTTATTACTGAGCAGTCAGGCAAGTAAAATAAAGAAAAAAAGTATGTATATGCATTACCCCCAATGTCTTTCTAAATGTCAAGATCTTCAATGCACATTTCACATGTTTTTATTCTTTAATACAAATGTTTGGCATAGAACATCTCGCATATTTCTCCTGTCTCTTCTCCCTAATATGAATATAAGCTTAGAAAAAAACGTAAATTGAATCATTTAAAAGGATAGTATATGATTTTTTAGCTATTTGTCGCTTATTATTTTTTTAGCAAAATTACTACATTTTTATCATTATGTCTTCTTTTATGTTATATAAAAATATTTATAATTTTTTACTTGGTTCACTCTTAGATCATATTACCGCATTTTCTGTTATTTTACAACTAATAGAAGATAATACATGGTATCCAAAAGATAAGTTAAGAAAAATAATTTATCAGGCAATTATAGTAGTGGAAAAGAATTATGATCAGACTTCAGAAAAATATCTCAAACTCGTTGATATTTCCTTGAAGGTTAGTGATTATTACTATTATTTATTATTTATCAGATTTATAATTCCAAATGATGATTACGCAGAATGATATTATAATATCAAATTAAGAGAATACCTATATTCATGTGGGTACAGGTTTAATCAGATGCATTATTCCTTAAACACACAGGGGTGAATCTTAGTTCTGGTTTATAAAGAAAAAAATATAGCATTCATATGCATTGTTAATTGTATGTAGGCCATATATAGTTAATAATTACATGAAATATGCTAACGAGTATGCATACATGAATCTAATATCAAAAGTTTAATTACATTAGTACTAATATAAGGCTTTTGTGCTAGTTTAATGATGCATATAAAGGTGTAAGTAGTCTTCAGAGTATCAAAGAATCAAAATAGGAAGAACCACTCACCAAGAATGAAATCAAGACGAACTTGCGTGTGTTGAAAACCAATCTTAAAAATAGCAAGATTCTATATGCCCACCACTTCTGTAAATATTTAAAGAAGAAAAGTACTTCAGATTTATCATGATACGTTTCACTTGCTAGTCAAGTGATTTGTGCAAATTCAGAAATAATGAGAACTTTGGAAGTAAAAGCATATAACTTTTTATGGTGAGTAATTTAGCAAATAGTGTTTTGTATTGCCATAATTCACTTTCAGCAAAGAGTATTATATTAATATTGTAATCCTATAGGATTCAGCAGAGCATATGAAAGTAACTACTCCAGACCTTGTCAAAGATAATTATGATTTCTTCGTTTTGAATTTTATAGACAGTATTACATATATCCCAAATAATAGACTTTTATATGATAAAAGTTGGAAAGAATCTAATGAAAAACTAGCAAAAGTTACGTTAGGTATACTCAATATCTTATGAGTATTTTAGTAATAAGAAATCATATTTGGTATTTCTTAAAATTTTTTGTTTAACACTATTCTTTATTAGGAGAGATATTTGGAAAAATCCCGCCTTCAGTCTAAAGCTGGTTAAGTTACAAAGTGAAGAGATATATATGATTGATATAATAGTTCTAATGATTCAAATATCATTAAAAGATCTTCTAATTGAGAAATCTGATTATATTTTCACAGTTGAGCATCAAAGTATATTCAGCAAAGATCAAAGAGAAGTTGGAAAACGACCAAATGTTATGTTTATTACTAGCTGTAATAATAGGTCATATGAATTAATTTATGGTAAAAGTTCTCGTATCATTTGTGACGAACCAAAAAGGAAAATAATAAGGTAAAAACTTGAAGAGAGATGAACAATGGAATTTATTGAGCTTATAAAGGATGCAAACTAGACAAAGATGATTTTGGTATTATTGGTATTCAAATTGTCAGAATTGAGATATATCTAAATATCCTAATTCGAGGTATAGATGAGATACATCATTTCTATAATTAGCATACAGTTGAAATTCCAGTACAGTTAACAGATGGGAATACAGTGTTTGAATTATTGAAACATTATTGACAATTTAGGTATGTAGAATACAATTCTTATATTTCACTTGCCTCTTCTTCAGTCATAAACCTGCAGAAAATAATCTATCCCTTCCTTTGATCAAAGATTTTCAGGAAAAAAGCTTTCCAATTATTTTATATATCAACTCTAAAAAAAAATTTCATTAAACATATACTTATAATTATAGAATATCTTGCATGTAAATATATCTCTTCTGTATTATGCACTTCTAACTAGTTCAAATAGTAATACAGAAAATAGCTTTACAGTTTCTTCTCCACCAAGATCATCATTATCACCAAAAATGAAAAAAAAAAGTCTATAAAATCAAAAAAAAATAATCTAATTGTTATTTATATTACTGTATCAATAAAGTGATACTAGCGGTCGATTTCACAAATATATATTCATGTTTTTTTTGAGTGTAACATATATCAGATAATAAAAATTTCTTGGCAAAATGATCAGCGTAAACAATTGCTCATGTGCATGTGATTTTTTTTGCTAACCAATGGTCATAATGTCACATGAAATTCTTGATTGAAGCTAATATTTCTAGCCAATCTGTCAAATGTATCACGAAACTGATGCGTGAATTTATTCTTTAAATTTTCAAAATTTTTTATTATCTATAAAAAATGACTGGCATACTAACACCATCTTTCCATATATATTACTTGAAGCAACTTAACCAGCTTTTTCAATCTATTAAAATAGATATATGGTAATAACTTACATCTTAAAAACATCCATTATCATTAGAACAGGCAAGTAGTATTCACCCTGAAATGGAAGATTTGTTAAATAAAGCAGTTGAAAATTATATTAAGAAAAAAGAGCATCAGAAGATGAAGCCTATTACTAGTGACTGTGAAATTTCGTTAAGATAAGAAAATAAGGAGTTATGTATATAAAAGCAGGTATTGAGAAAAAATATCGAAGAGTTTCTTGATTTGCAAGAGCTATCAAATTCAGTATCCTTTTTAAAAAGTATAATTCCTGATATGAGAAAAGTCATTGCATCAGCTGAAAAGTCTATTGACATGCTAGAGGATAAATGTCAATGTCTAGAGGATATTATTTTCACTAAAGATAGAAAATTATTGCTTTGGTTAATTGAATCTCTTCCTACACAAAATATAGTAATATAACTATAAAACTGGAAATATTTTCTAGCACTTATAAAAGAAAATTATGGGCGAAGAGGCGTAATGAATCTAAATATGACACAGAAGCCTAGAAAAAATATACATTTTGTCTCACTTCATTAATTCCTTTGAGGGAACGCTAAGTCAAAAGAATTTCTAATTATTAGCTTGGACATTTTTTTAAAATTTTATCCTATTCAGCTCGTATCCTGTGAGGATAGTTTAGAGGCACTGTTAAATCAAAGACAATAAAATTGCGATCAGTTAAATAGTTAATAACATCTTCATATATACTATACTAATCATAAGCATATAAGCAGAAAATTCTGCTCAATTCTTCTGAAGTGGACCCATTATAGAATACAACGTAATTTAAGTTTTTTCTTATTATTCCTAAGCAGTCGAAAAAGCTCTGTGTGATATATATACTGCTAATATTTTTGTGACGCCCTTCAGTAAAATAAGGTACAATTTTCTTCTGAACTTTCTTTAAATTAGCGTATACATCTTCGAATATGGTCACTGTACCTCTTTCTGGAGAGAATGAATCTAACTTTAGAATTTTATCAG